CACAATCTCGGTATTGAGTCGCCTAACCTGCCTGGGGTTAAGAGTATTCGACCCGCTGAGGTCATTACACTGACGGCTACACACGTATCAAGCCCTTCAGCTTCGCCTCTGTACTACGCCAGCCAAAAAAGTGCGAGCTGCGGAAGGTTGCTAGACTTACGTTTTTCTTCCGCAACACGCACGCATGCATGGAGGTATGCACGCAGAGATGTGTAGAAACACCTGCACAGGCAGGCAGTGATGGACATCCTTGCATGCCTGCGCAGGTGTTCCCGATGGTGCTGGACGAATAAGCGGAGAGTCATAATGCCGGTCAATTCAACCAGTAAACAGGAGAAGTACATAGGAGTCCTGTCAGTGCAACAAAAGCAGCCTGGGGAGACAAGCATTTGCTGCCCAGAGAAATAAAAAAGGCTGAAAAGGCCTGTCAATTAGTGGCGCATGCAGCGCATACCCGACAGCCGCAAGCAGGAGTATATAGGGCGTGTGTTGAAAGCTTTCAATAGCCGCACTCCTGTTGATGCAACGGAAAGCAAACACCTGCTTAAGCTGTACACGCCAGTCAGAGTGTCTGTTCTGAAGGAAGGAAAGTGTGAATAAGACGCTGCGGAGCGCGGCTTTGCTTGAATAGTATCGGCAGCCGCGGGGTGCCACGGAAAGTGAACTGCTTTAGAGGGCAACCAATCCAAGGGCCGCAATGGCAACGGCAAGCAGGCTCGGGGCAACAGGAGATGCAGAACCTGTGAGGGATGCCTTGATCTTGTTCCACTGCTCTTCGCTGCGAGCAATTCGCCAACAGATGAATAACACACAACACTGTATTCGCACCCACAAGCCCAGCTCTGTAACCAACTATCGTTTTGCAGGAAATGGTTGCCAACTTACGTGAAGGGAGCTTGGTCGTCGTCTTTAAGTGCATCAGGTGTGGTCATGCACAGTAGAGCATAGCCTTTCTTATCACCCGCACTGGTCCGTGAGCTGAATACTGTGGGAGGTGAAGCTGCCGTTTGAGTGCAGGTGACTATTCGGCAGTCAGCAGTGGCTTCGTCCGAAGGGTTGTACAAAGCAATAAAAGAAGCGTTATGCTGTTTCTTGTAGAGTTCTGCTCCGTCAGTCTTTGATGGAGGAAGGGAGGTGAAGTTGCTGGCGGCTTCCTTCCAGTGGCTCACTGCGGCAGCGCAGTCCGCCTCTGCTGTATCCAACGCCATGAAGGCGTATGTGCCGCTTGGAAAGGCATTTTTCTCAGCGTTTTGCTGCACTGTGCTTTCTTCGTCTTTCTGCAGATAAAAGGGTGTGCGGGAATTAAAAAAAAACAGAATTGGAGTAGAGAATACGCGGTTACATAAGGAAGGCAACGAGTGAGGCCACTTACTTTTATCAGAGCTTCGCAGACTGGATCCCATGGCTTGGTAGACTGGCTGTCTGATCCCGCGACAGTTTCAGGCCACGTTTGTGAGCCTTCCTTGGCCACCAAGAAGTGCGCTAGCCCAGCAGCTTCACGGGCATTGTTAATCTCGGCAAGACACACACTGGTTTCATCTGTAGAAAAGCGACCAATACAGACAAAAAGAGCCCAATTGTGCCAATATTGATGCTTCTGAAGACGGTTTGATTTGTCTAAAGCCGTCGGAGGGGCCAGTTCGGTTCCAAACTACACTGATCCTCGAGCATATTTCACCGACTCTAACACATTCCCTTTTGACCAACATGAGACTGAAACCCTCCCCAGCAAGCAGTTGATTGCCAACATACCAAGATCTACTGTGTAGGTTGGCGTTTGTCCTTCCCCTGGACTTCCATCATCATCTGCATCTCCCTGGGTTGCGTGGGCCATCAGGAGCGCAGAGGCAGCGGCGAGTGAAATAATTTTAAGAGGCGCCATGTTTGTAGAGTTGAGGGAGAATGTATTGGCAAGAAGAATAGAAGTGCGCTGCAAGTTTGCGGCGACTCCAATTAGAGACGTGACAATGTGTTGTGCTGTATGTGTGCAGGAGGAGGCGGTGAGGGAGCTAACTGCGACTGGCGAATCCGGTCCGGCGTGGGGACCTTCTGCCTAAGGACTGGCATTGAGTTTACCACATTGCATCGGTTAACGCCCCATGAATGATATATTTAACGAAGCATTACTTAGAAAATTCCTCGTACATCTGCTGAACACAACGTGAAGCCCCTGTTAAGGACGCGCGCGGTCGTGCCATCATTCAGACCAGCTGAGCACCGGGGTCCCACGAGGTCGATTCCTGTTTAGCGGCCGACCAATTCGACGTGAAGAATTTTTTGTTTTTTCGAAGGCTTACATTGTATAAATTGCCCTAAACCTGTGGCTCCGTGCTCTTCTGGCCTTGGTCCAGGGAGTCGTATGGTGTCCCTTCAGACGTGGGGCGCGCTGCCCTTCGGCGAGGCTTTCTCTGCTTGCAGATATAAGGGTAAGGAGGAGTCATCAGCCCGCACATAAAAATGCAAAAACACTATTAAGGGAGGCTCGTTCATCAAATTCCTGAGCATCTCTCCCTTACTTCGCCAGCTGACAACGTGCGAACCGCTGCAAAATTCTTCAACAACTGCTGCCAGTCGCTAGGCTTAATGCCAGCGGCACAGGATGCACGCATGCAGGACAACATGCACGCACAGATGTGCGTAGATGCCAAAAAGAATGTAGCTATGCATGATACGTTGGATCGATAGCGGGCGTGTCATATTGCCCATTAATTTCATCAGCGGTAGGGAAACAGTAGGTAGGACTCAGGCCAGTGAAACAAAATCAGTCTAGAGAGGCAAACATTTGCTATCTAGAGAAATGAAAAAGAGCTGAGAAGACCCGTCAGCGGATAGCGGATGACACTAGTGCCAATAGGATTAGAAAAAGGCTAGGAAGCCCTGCAAACTAGTGGCACTTGCAAAGCAAGGCTCACTGCCGCATAGTGAAATGTAGGGGTGCGCGTTGAAAACGCTCAATAACCGCAGGCCTAGGGAGGCAGCGGGAAAAAACACCCGACGAAGGCGCCGACGTCTGTCTGTCAGCGGGTCTTTTCTGAAGGCGCCAACATGTGAAAAAGGCGCTGCGAAGCGCGGTCTTCCTTGAATGGAATCAGGAACCGGG